GCCCGCCGCCCTCGCGGCCTGCGCGAGCCTCATCGCGGGCGACTCGGCGGAAACGGCGGTGCGGCCGCCCTCTTCCCCCGCCCGGGCGAATCCCCCGCGCGAGGCGGAGGCCGCGGGGGAAGGGACGATCCCGCCCGACGCGCCCTGCCTTTGGCGGGGGCTGATGAACCTGGGGAATACCTGTTATCTGAGCGCGACGCTTCTGATGTTGTACGCCATCGCGGCCCTTCGCCGGGGGGTTCTCGCCGCCGCGGAGGACCCCGCGGCGGGGCCGCCGCCGCCTCGCGAGGGCGCGGGGTGGTCCTCCGCCTCATCTTCCGCCTCGTCGTCGTCGTCGCGGGGGGTGGGGGTTTGCGAGGAGGCGGCCCGGGGGCGGGCCGTCCTGCGGGAGTCGACGCTGCCGGAGCTTTTTGCGCAGATCGCCTTCAGCGTGGACCCTCGCGGGGCGGATCCGAGCGGGTTTGTGGCGTTTTTATCCCTCAACGCGAGCGAGCAGCACGACGCGCAGGAGTTTTTCGCGCTGCTGCTTGACTGGATGAGCAGCCAGTGCGGCCCCCGCCTACGCGCGGTCGTCAACCGGGTCTTCGGCGGCGTCGTTCTGTACGATCGGCGCTGCCGGGCCTGCGGGAACGCCACGAAGCGCGCAGAGGACTTTTTATACCTCACGATCCCCGTCAAGCCGACCCTGTCGGAATCCCTCGAGGACTTCGCGAAGGAGGAGGAGGTGGAGGGGGTGGCCTGCGAGGGCTGTGGGAAGACCGGGCTGGCGGGGTCCCGGCAGTACCTCCGCAGCCTCCCTGAGGTGTTGGTGTTGCATTTAAACCGCTTCGAGTTCAACCCGCGAACCGCGCAGTGCGAGAAGCTCTCCCTCGCGGTGGCCTTTCCCCCGCTGCTCGACCTCCTGCCCTACGCGCGGTGTTGGGAGGCGCAGAAGCCGGCCTCGTCGCGCGCGAAGGCCCCGACGAGGGGGTTTTTGTACGAACTCCGCGGCGTGATTAACCACATCGGGGAGACCGCCCAGGCCGGGCACTACACCTACGACGGCAAACTCGCCCGGGCGGGGGAAAGCGACGGGGAAAAGAACGGCGAACCGCGCGGCCCCGCGGACGGGGTGGCGGCGGGCTGGGTCCACTTCAACGACGCGAAGGTCGTCCCCGCGGACGGCGACGGCGCCGCCGCGGGGACGTCGAAGCAGGCCTACATGCTCGTCTACCACCGCGTCGCGGGGGG